TATTATATATTATATATTATATATTATATATTATATATTATATATTATATATTATATATTATATATTATATATATTATATATATTATATATTAATATATATTATAAAATTATATCTATTCCAGTCCAAAATGAAATGCAAGAGGCTGTCTGGAGCTATTTTTAAGTTTAAATGCCAGACCTGATCCAGTACCTGCTACCTCGGCAAAAAAAAATCTCCCTTAAGGTGAAAACCCCCACAGGGGCCCAAACTCCGCTCTAAAGATTCCGGCAGAGCTGAGGCAAAGCCTAAAGCTGCGTTCAGTGGGTTCCCTGGACTCACACCTCCCAACAGCCTCTGAGGAGGAGAGCAGGGACCTTTCTCCTCCAGGTTTCTGCCCCTCTCACAGAACCAGAGAGTCTCAGAAGCATTTGGGTTTGAAAAGGCTTTAAAGTCACCCCGTTCCTTCCTCCGTGCCAGGCTGCTCCAAGCCCTGCCCAGCCTGGCCTGGGCACTGCCAGGGACCCAGGGGCTGCTGTTCCTCAGATTAGCCAGGAGAAAGCTCTGACATCCACTCCCCGGAGAATTTTAGTTAACTCTTAAATGACTTGTTTTAATTAGTTAATGCCAACCAGTATATGTATTAATAATAAATATTGTGTTATTCTTCAATTACTCTCAGCCAGCACGGAACAAGGTTGTCATGAGCTGCTTTTGCTGCTCCGGGCACCCTGTGCCAGGGCCTGCCCACCCTGCCAGGGAACAATTCCTGCCCAGTCTCCCATCTAAACCTTCTCTTAGTTTCAAATCATTCCCCCTTGTCCTGTTGCTCCAGATCCTGTTGAACTGTTCTCCAGCTAATCCTTCCTTTCCCTAACTCACCCAGGAGAGAATTAAATTATTTTAAGGCTGCCTCACCAGGGCAGAGATGCAGAGCAAAACTTTCTCCTGTGTTTTCTGGGCCTTACATTGCCAGCCTGTCAGTGTTTTTCAGTATCTTCCCCCACTGAACCCTCTATCCCTCACCATCCTGTGCAGCAGCAACCAAACTTTATACAGGTATTGAAATAAGAGAAAGAAATAAAAATCCAGATTGGCTCTTCATGGTGGGGCAGATGTTGGAACCCTGGTCACTGAGAATTTCAGATTTTCTGTGCTGACAGGCACTGACCCCCAGGAGAACACTGCATTGACCTGAGGCCGTGGAGAAGCTTCCAGAATGGAATGACAGAACTGGGATTGTGGGTGTGTGGTTTGAATAGAAGTGTGGAATATCACACTGTGGAAAACAGAGTTGAAGGATTTAGAATACAGCAATATATTTAAAGCAAAATAGAAGTTTTAAAGCAGAAGCTAATCCTTCTTCTTTACCTTCTTCTTCACTTTCTTCTTCATGAGTTTGAGTAGTATCATGTAATTAAATAAAAAAGTCTACATTACAAATCATGAGTAGTTATTAAGTTAAAAGTAAAAATAATGTAGGTGTATTTTCTTAATTGGACAGTTTATCCTTAAAAGGCCTTGTAGACAGAGAGATACAGCTCCATTTTTTAGCTTGTTCAAGTACTATAAAACTCACAGTCTATGAATTTATGACATAGATAAGAACTAAGAAGCATCTAAACAAAAAAACCTTCTCAGACACTTAATCCAAACCTTAACAGAAAAAATATCCAAAGAATCCACACAATGGTGCCCCATGTGAGGAAGAACAGATTTGGGGCTTTGAAATACCTGTAACCACTCTGAGAAAATTCAGCTGCACCTTCTCTGTCACATGAAACCAGTCCCAGCAGGGCAGTGGGGGTGGGAAATGGTCAAAACTCCAGGGATTTGGGTACTCACAGGAATTTCCCATCGGGCTGTGCCCCCGCGTAGAGCCTCCGTTCCGCTTCCTCCCGGCTGATATTGCCGTGGTACCAGGGCATCCTCTCGTGGGCTGTGGTGGCCACCAGCTTCTCCACCTGGGGAGCCTGGCTGATGATGGCCTGTTCCAGGGCATCCCCCTGGGAAAGAGCAGGAGAAGAGACCTGCTGCCATCCTGCTGCTCTGCTGAGGGCTTCAGCACAGCTCTTTTGGGGCACATCACACAGGAAATTTGGAACGTCTCAAGACCCAACAGCGGCTGAATCCTGTTCTGCTGCAGAGCAGAATTCCTGGCTTGTCTCAACTGACCTAATCCTTAAAACCCAGCTGAAGTCCTTTGACTTTGGTGAGGGAAGAGGGAAGGCAACATGTTTATGTGGGGAATCTTAATGCTGGGCTTGTGGGATGTCATTCAGCCTCGTGTTTCAGGCTGGTGGCAAGTTGGATCTGTGTCCTGGCAGCCCAAAGGGCCGCCCTGTCCTGGGGGCAGCAGGCCAGGGAGGGATTGTCCCACTCTGCTCTGCCCTGGGGCAGCCTCAGCTCCAGTGCTGGGGGCACTTTGGGCACCACAAGGTCAGAAGGACCCAAAGCTGTTGGAGAGTGTCCCAGGGAGGGACACGGAGCTGGGGAAGGTCTGAGGAGCAGCTGAGGGCACTTGGCTCGTTCAGCTGGAGCACAGGAGATGAGGGGAGGCTCCTCGGGGCTGCAGCTCCTCCCGAGGGGAGGCAGAGGGGCAGGGGCTGAGCTCTGCTCTGGGACAGCTCCTGGAGCCCAGCGAGGGCTGGAGCTGTGCCAGGCCTTGGCATGGAGCTCAGGGAAAGGTTCTTCCCCCCGAGGGTGCTGGCACTGCCCAGGCTCCCCAGGGAATGGTCCCGGCCCCGAGGCTGCCAGAGCTGCAGGAGCGTTTGGACAGCGCTCTCAGGGCTGCTCAGGGTGGGGCTGTTGGGGGGTCTGGGCAGGGACAGGGGCTGGGCTGATGATCCCTGGGGGTCCCTCCCAGCTCAGGATATTCCATCACTCCATGATTTTTTTGAGGGCACAACCTTTCTGGTGCCCCTGCCCTCCTGGCTGCTCACCAGGACTTGGCAGGGTCGGTGCAGTTTGGCGATCACGGGGGAGGGACCCTGAGTTCCTCTCCCCAGGCTGAGGGTGTCAAACCCTCACTGTCCCTTTGCCAGGAGGTGGCGATGTCCTTTGTGCTCTCTGCAGGTGGCCACAGATCTGCTCTAGGGGAAAGCCTACAGAATCCCCCGGTCTGGGAGAGAATTCTGCCACAAAATTCCTCATTTTAGCAGAGAACGCCTCATTCAGCTATAGAAACCCTACAGAACACCTCATTCACCCTATATAACACCTCATTCTGTCAAACACGTTGGTGTAAATAGGCCACATTTAGAAAGGCTCCATAAGGACACTGCCTGAGCCGTATTTCTCCAAGGATTTAAAAGAAAATATAGAATCCCAGAATTATTTAGGTTGGTAAAGACCTCCAAGGTCATCGAGGCCAAGCTGTGCCCTATCCCCACCTTGTCCCCAGCCCAGAGCACTGAGTGCCACATCCAGGAATTCTTTGGACACCTCCAGGGATGGGGACTCCAAACCTCCCTTTGCAGCCCCTTCCAAGGAAACAACAAAATGACCCCTGGAAGTGTCTGAGAAGCCAAGGTAGCAGCAGGCAGAAAGAAATTAAATCCATGGCTGCCAGTGGGACCATTTAGATTTTTGATTTATGTATATATTGTAGATATTCCAGTCTGCAATAAAATGCAAGAACCTGTTAGGGGCTATTTTTAAATTTAAATAACACACAGACCTGATCCAGCACCCCTACCCTGGTCTCATAGGTAAAACCTTCACTGGCAAAAAAAACCCTCCAGAGAGGCAAAAATTCCACTCCAAAGAGTGAAAAAAATCAGAGCAGAAGCCTAAATCTGGTTTCATTTCATCTTCAGCACAATGTTTGGAGGCACAGGTGCCTCTCATATGGAGAGATATTCCCAGAAATCACAGAATATTCTGAGTTGGAAGGGACCCACAAGGAACATCGAGTCCAATTATTAAGTAAATGGGCCCATATGGGGATGGAGCCCAAAACCTCGGCATTATTAGCACCATGTTCTGACCAACTGAGCCAGTCACAGGATTGGGATGGAGATTATGCTGCCAGCAGCACTAGGGACACATCCATGGCATGGGGGTCATGTTTTTATGTGCCTCTGGAGCTCCATGGTTGAGTTTTGGGATGGGTTTGTTTAGTTCTGGGATGGGTTTGTTTAGTTCTGGGATGGGTTTATTGGGGTTTAGGATGGGTTTGTTTAGTTTTGGGATGGGTTTGTTGGGGTTTGTGGGTTTGTTAGGGTTTGGGATGGGTTTGTTTAGTTCTGGGATGGGTTTCTTGGGGTCTGGGATGGGTTTGTTGGGGTTTGGAATAAGTTGTTTAGTTCTGAGATGGGTTTGTTGGGGTTTGGGATGGGTTGTTGGCTTTTGGGATCAGCACTCTGGTCTAAGGGAGCATCCCATGGGCTGCAGAGGAGAAGAACACTTGGAGGAAGGCCAGCAAAGTGAGCTCCAGCTGTTCCAAGGATGGGTCTGAAGGCTTGGGAAGATGTTTAGACCAGTGTGCGGAAAAGAAACTGGGAAAGAGCAGGATTCAAACCCTTCACAGCACCATCACCTTCCAAGGAGAAGAACCTCACTCTGCTGTGCTGCAAATGGGACACAACAATGCCAGAGGGGTCACGGCTTTCCACCCTGTTGGAACCCTGGTCACTGAGAATTTCAGCCTTTCTGTGCTGACAGGCACTGACCCCCAGGAGAACACTGCATTGACCTGAGCCAGTGGAGAAGCTTCCAAAATGGAATGACAGAACTGGGATTGTGGGTGTGGAGTCTGAACTGAAGTGTGGAATATCACAGGGTGAGAAACTTAGAGTTGAAGGGTTTAGAATACAGCAATATATTTAAAACAAGATGGGGGTTTTAGGGTGGAGACTGGTCCTTCTCCTTCTTCTCCATGGGTTTGGGTGGTTTTGTGTAATTGGATAAAAATTATTGTGGGCCATGGGTGGTTGGTTATTGGGTTAAAAGTAAAAAATAATTTAGGTGTCATTTCTTAATTGAACAGTTTATCCTTAAAAGGCCTTGTAGAGAGAGCGACGGGGCTCCATTTTGTAGTTTGTTAGAGTGAAGTGCTGCAAAACTCAGGGTTTGTGAGACTGAAACATAGATAAGTACTAATAAACATCTGAGTCCAAACAAGAATTACTGCCTTGCACAATTAATCCTGACCCTGGCAAAATAAAAGAGAAGCAAAAAACGAAAAGCAAACAAAAAGAATCCACTCCAGAAAGCCGTAGTACCTCCAGTTTCCACGTCTGCCGCACGTACTCCCGCACCATGTTGTCCCTCATGCTGTCGAAGACGCCGGGCTGGGGCTCCACCCCGCTGGGGCGGTTGCAGGGCTTGCGCAGGGGGCAGCAGAGCCCGTCAGCATCCTTGGAGTAGAACTCACAGAGCTCCTCGGGGCCGCAGTGGGCCTTGCCCCCCAGGATGGCGTAGGTGCCGTTGAGCTGGCGCTCGATGGGGTAGTGGTAGAACTGCAGGTCGCACACCATGGACAGCACGTAGCCGCCCAGGCTGCGCAGGCACTGCCGCAGCAGGAACAGCCCGTCCGCCATCCCCCCCAGCTTCAGGTGCTCCTCGGCCTCCGAGCGCGCGATGCTGCCGTAGTAGAAGGGCAGGTGGGCGGCGGCGTCCGGCATCTCCCCGGCCTTGCTCGCCGCGGTGGCTCACGCGCTCTGGAGGCTGCTGGCCCAACAGGGAAGAAGTTGGGCGTTACATTGCGCTCAGGCCATGTTTTCCCCCATTCCCCGGGACCCCTGTGACTTGGATCAAGATAAGCCTGGACCCCTCCTTCCAGCCCCAACAGGGTTGGTGGAGAGCCAAAAGAGTCCTCCCTGTCCAGAGCCTGGATAAACCCCTGACCCTTCCTGTTCAGAAGGCGATGCCCCTTCCTGTCTGGTCTCTTTCCCTTGCTCTTCCCCTCGGACCATGCAATAAAGAGCTGGACAACTACATCAGGGTGAGAGCCTCTTTTGGGAATCTTTGCCCATCTCCTGATGTTCCTCCCCTCAAGGCCGCGTATCTCTGGGCTAGCCTGATCATTTAGGGGCTGAGAGAGAGGAGGAACGTCAGATGGTAACCCTCCCCTGGAGGGAAAAACCCCCCATAGCTGTACCCACCCTTGTTAGGGTGAGGAAAAAGGCTTCTCCCAGCATGCCTTGCTGCGACATGCAGATTCCATGTATCCCATTGGCTCTTCTGCCTCGCTCCACCCCTGTGCCCTCATCCCATTGGCCCTGGTGTTCTGTCCCACCTCTCAAGATCCTTATATAAACCCCTGTTTCTCCCTGCCTGAGTGGCTCTTTGTCCCTGGATTCCTTTGGGGAAGAAGCTCGATGAAGGTTCTCCAGTTCTCCTTGGAGCCCACACAAAAACCCCGTCTCTCCCTCTGCATCACCCGGATCACAGAAGAGCTGGGATCACCCAGCGTGAGCACAGACCTGCCTGTGCCCCCGAGGTGTCTTTTTCAAGACACTTCTTTGGGAAGGTCACAGCATTCTGAACAAGGCCCGCCGTGACAGCACACTGCTGGGGCCCGGCCTGACTGGGAAAATTCATCCCTGAAGCATCATTTTGCAAAATGGTTTTATTTGGGTTCAGACTTCCCTGTCTAGAGGTTCTCCTGCTGGCTCTCTATGGGGTTGTTTCAAACTCACAGCACCTCACATTCCTCTATTCTGCCCTTACTGGAGCAGGGAAGTGCAAATAAAAATCCACCTGATCTTGATTTAAAGAGCCCAAGCAACAGAAAATCCACTGGATCTTGATTTAGAGATGCCAAAGAACAGAGAAACCACCTGAACCTGATTTAAAGATTCCAAGCAAGAGAGAATGCCTCAAATCCTACAGTGAGTTCCTCCAGTCCTTGATTACTTTCACTATTAAAAATGTGCTCCTTAAATCCATCCTGACATTTTTAGCCTTGACTTCCTACCATTTTCTCTCCAGCCCTGTTCACAATAAAAGGAAATTCTTTGGCTTCTCTGAATAAATGAGCTTTGCCATGGAGGTCTAGAAGGCCAAAACCTTCAATGCATTGAGTTTAAAACACGAGGTGGATATGAAACATCTAAAACAACATTTAGATAAACAACTGCACCAAGCACAGCGAAAGGAGAGAAATCCAAGTGCTTCTGGGCAGACTACAACAATCAGTCAGCAGGAACAAGAAGAAACCTTCCTTAAATTGTTTTTTAAGCAATCTGTGGAATTTTTCCCCTACAATACCTGGCTCTGTCTGGTTCCTGATGCTCCGATCCCTTTGGCAGAGAGGGCCCTTTGTTGACCAAGTCTCTGCAGAGCCCCTGGTGCCGAAGAGCTTTAGGGCTTGTCTCTGTGCAGGGCTTGTATCTCTATCTTGAATCATTGAAAATCCCACCCAGGAGGTGTTGACAGAGCCCAGTTTGCTGTAATCAGTGGAAACATTATCGTGACCAAAGGGTCTCATTTGTTCCCTGGAGCCTGAACTTTGGGGTTGCTCCTGTGCAGACAATGACCCCAAAAAGGTCAGGGAGATTTTCTCCACCTGCACCTCCGGCAAACGCGTCGTTCTTGTGAGGAGCAAAAAAACACCGGATTTTGGGGCAGCACACTGGGTATTTTCTCTGAGTCTTCCCAATTTGACTCTTCTGGACATGGTGGGAAAAGTTGTTTCCCCACGGGCTGAGCCCAGTGCTGTGGCCTCTGCTCGCAGGCAGTGGCCAGAGCTGTGCCTGGGCATGTGGTCAGCCCTGCCCTGGTGGCCAGCCCTGCTCTGGCTCATGCCAGCTTGGTTCATCCCTCTCAGCAGCACAGGGCCCTCCTGCCATGCCCTGGCATCACTGGAGCTGGGAAGGGCTTGGCTGGATCTCTGTGTTGGAAAGGCTCCGGAGGAACTGTCCTGCCCCGTGCACGCTGCCCTGCTCAGCCCTCAGCAGCAAAGGCCTGCCAGGAGCTGGATTTATGGCAACCAGAGCCTCCTCTACCTATTTGTTGTCCCCATGAAGCTCTGAAATGGCCCTGATGAGAACAGGGAGGGCAGAGAGGAGGCGTCTCAGCTGAGGCAGGAAACCACAACAGGAAGCATCAGTGGTTCACAGCCAGGGTGAGGGACCAGCAGAAAACATCCCAAGCACAAATCAGCCCAAATTGTGAAGGCCCAAATTCACCAAATGGAGCAAAGTGGGGTCTTGGCACTGGAATGTGGAGGTGAATGGGAACACCCCGAGGCTCAAACCCAAGCTGGGGTTGGTGCTTGGGACCAAAGAAAAGCATCCTAATCCTGTGATGCCTCCAGACATCCCCAAGCCCAGACTGGTTCCCAGAGCTGGTTCCCAGAGCTGGTTCAGCTCCTGAGACCAGTTGGCTGCCAGCTCTGCCCAAGCCCAACCTGCTCCCAGCTCACAGGAAGATGGGCTGAAGGAGGTGAGCAGTGAGGACTGCAGCTCTTGGGTTCAGCTGCAATCAGGTTTGTGAGTCACGTTCATGAGGAACAGGAAATACTGAGTGGGCAGAGGGACGGCGATGGCCTCCTTTGTGAGCTGCTGCTTTGCCCTGGGATAAACAGCCATGACATCTGCACCCAAAGCTGCTGAATCCCTTCTCTGGAAAGTCCAGGAGCAGAACATCAGAGCAAGTGGAGCACCTTTGTCATTAGCTCAGCCAGGTGAAAATGAGAGGGCAGAAGTTACTGATGACATGTGAGCCCTCACAGAATTTCCAGCTGCCCACACAGGATGCTCTGTTACAAACAGGCTGTTTTTCCTCTCCAACCACAGAGCTGGAAGTGAAGAAACCCTCACTGAGACAGGAGAGGAACCCAGGGCTCAGAGGTTGGGTCAGGTGGTGCCACCCAAGCCTTGCTGCCACAGATCAACCCTGGTAGGAAATTGCTGAGAAAAACCTTCCCAGTCCTGAGACATGAGGGAAAGTCACCCCCTGAAGCCTGAGAGCAGATTGGAACAGGAAAATTTATAATCCCTCTAAAGCTCTTAGTTTTAAATATTTGTCCTGGCTGGTTTTATTGCCCACACACCAGCTCAGGGTCTCCTCTAATTCCTGTTCCAAACTCTGTTCCTTGGCACCACCTCTGCATGGACCTGAGCAACCCTGAACAACCTCAACAGACCTGCACAAATCTCCTTCAACTTTGTTCTCCCACGCTGCCAAATGCAGCCAAAAATGAGAACCAATTTCATGGACCAACACCTGAAAGAACCTGTGCAAGGGACCCTCCACTGTTATTTATTTCAATTAACAGGACCTCGTTTTTCCAGTTTAATCTGTGTCCCTGGGGCTGCAGCTGCTGGGTGTTCCCCTGGGTTTGGGTGGTCCCACAGGCTGGGCACAGGGAGCAGGGCTGGAAGCCCAGGGCTCCTCTGGTGATGGCCACGTTGGCAAGTTGGTGTGATGACATCAAGATGCACCCAAAAAAACAACTGCCACATGAAATCAGTCAGATCTGTGCCCCACGCCACAGGAAAGGCAGGCAGGAAGCCCTGGAGATGTCACTCGATCAGATCTATTTATAGCTGGCCACTCATTTTTACTCAGATCAGACACGAACAGGAACTGGTTTGATTTTATAATTTCCCAGAACACTTGGTGCAAATCCAGACCAGCTCCCGAGAGCAGGGGGTTGTACTGGTGAAACTGGAGGCAGCACTGGCAAGGCTCAGCTTCCTTTTAGGACCACGTTTTGTGTCTCCTGGTCCTGGCAGCAATAATCCCACACACCACAAATAATCCCTGATAACACAGCCACAATAGGGTGGTTGGGACCTGCCTGGAGGAGAGCAGGTGGGGAAGGGCTGAAGGATGGGAATTGTGATGGGAAATCAGCCTGGAGAGGTAAAAAGGGGGATCTGAGGGGGTTTCTGTCCTTTGGGGGTGGTGTAGTTTGGAGTGGTGTGTTGCCAATGTGGGGTAGTTTTAACAATTCCCTAAATGGAGTTTAACTGGGGAAGGGGAGGAGAGGCAGCTCAAAGGAAGTGCCAGGAAAATGTGCCTGGGGATGGCTGAGAGGGGAATTCAGCCTGGGATGGGCCCTGGGGGCTCTGAACTGCTCCTGGGGTTCCTTCTGCTGCTCCTCAGGGCTGGGCTGTCCTATGGAGAGGCTTTGGGGTGGGTTCTGATGGGAACGGGGATGGGAGCAGGTTTGGAATTGCTCCAGAGTGGGTTCCTGATGGACAGGGGCACAGGAAGGGTTTGGGATTGCTGATGGGCAGGGGCACAGCCAGGGTTGGGATTGCTCTGGGATCATTCCTGATGGGCAGGGGGACAGGATGGATTTGGGATTGCTTCGGGGTCATTCCTGATGGACAGGGGACAGGATGGATTTTGGGATTGTTTGGGTCAATCCTGATGGGCAGGGCACGGAGCAGGTTTGGGACTGCCCATCCTGCAGCAGCAGCACAGGCAGAGGCAGGGGTGGGTGTGGGGCACCAGCTCTGCCCTGAGCTGCCCCAGCCTCTGCTGCCTCCTTGTCCCCTCCTGATGCCAAATGGCCACAAAGCTGCTTCTGGTGGTTCCTTGCCTGGACCCACCTGCGTTTAATGCCAGAATAAATGCACTTTGTTCTGGTGCTGTTTGCTGCAGAGGCGATGGGCACAGCCAAGCACCTCCTGCCTGTCCCCAACCCTTCCCTGCATTTCATTCTCTTGTTTCTGACTTGTGGTTGAAGATAAGAAAAAGGCTGGAAAACA